TTTTGGAAAACGCACGCACGAAACGCAAAAAAAGTATCCAATCCCGTTATGGAAAGATTCACTCTACGCTGATAAGTAAAAAAAACCGGAGTCGAAAGCCAAATTTTCTAAATATAAGCCAAAAAAGTAAACTGCGCAGCACGATCTGAGAGCCACCGACACTTTCGGCACTATTTTTCGAAAACGCACGCTTGAAACGCAAAAAAAGTATCCAATCCCGTTAAGGGAAGATTCACTCTACGCTGATAAGTAAAAAAAACCGGAGTCGAAAGCCTAATTTTCTAAATATAAGCCAAAAAAGTAAACTGCGCAGCACGATCTGAGAGTCACTGACACTTTCGGCACTATTTTTCGAAAACGCACGCTCGAAATGCAAGAAAAAATAATCAATCCCGTTAGAGAAAATTCCACTCTACACTGGTATGTAAAAAAAACCTAACCGAAAATCCTAATTGCAGTAATATAAGTGAGAAAAGTAAACTGTGTAGTACGATGTCGCAGGAGCTTGCTTTTCCGCCACTTTATTTCATATCTGTACCTTCAATCGTAAAATAATTGCCCTACTGGTTGGTGAACAATCTATTCTAGCAGGAGTAATGAAATATCTTAATCCACAGAGGAAGTTTAGAATGTATAAGCAATAATACCTTATCTACTTCGCAATTGAATATCAAGGTTGATGAAAAAATTGCAAAAACTGTTAACAAGCTGTCTATTCAGAGTAGAAATATTTAAATATATTACTGGACAATCAAGCTCTAGAATCTACTACAGTGGACGGTTGGGGACTGTGCGATAGTATTACACGATTCGCACTCACACTGCTTCATTTCACGCATGTATCGTTATACGATTTTCACTATGTCAAATTATTATTTTTTACACGTAATATATTAGCACCGAAGAAATGTTCACAGTTAGTAATCCTGAACTTCGTAAATTTCTCACAATTTCTTAAACTTTCGCTGTATCTTATTCGTAAATATTGCAATAATGTTACAAACGTAACCTACAACTGGAATATCGCGAACTAATACCCGAAACGTCGCGTTATAGTTCTTATATATATATTTCCTCAGTTGTAGCAATTAAAACTTCAATCAGCGATATCACTACTTTACGAAACGTTTTGTGGAAATCTTTAATATTTCACTTTGACGTACAAAATTATTCCACTATTTGTTACCGGTATGTTCGTTGGGCGCGGAACTGAAGATAACTGACGCTAGACAATCTGTGCGTTTTTCTCGCGGGAAAATGCTGCGTCTTTGAAATAGCCATATGCTAAAGTATCGATGTAGAATATCAAACAACCTATCTTATATTTATTAATATCAATGAAGCAAATACAAATCCGTTTCCCTTACGAAAATGACAAATAATAAATGCTTAATTTCTACAGCAAAACCGTTATAAATTAATAAAAATAATTATAAAATTAATAATAAAATTATAATATATAGTAATACATAATACGTATATAAATTAGTTACAAAATTTTATAAATGAGCATTATGATCACCTTTATTGACAATACTCCTTGGGAAAATTAGTTTCTAATGTATATTTTTCCATTGCTAATAAGATGAGTTTATATTCAGTTTCAAGTGTACTTATAACAAACGTGAAATGTTATTGTTAAAATTAAGATTGATTAAATAGTAGTTTTAATAAAACAGTTCACCTAACCTATGCTGTGATGGATGTCAGAAATAAAACAATAAAACAATACAAATTACTATCACACATTCTCCTTTCTTCTTTTTAATCTCTTAACACCCCCCTAAAAAATTTTACATTCTTTAACAAATTTGGGTCATTCAGTGGTTTAGTTAGACAATCAGCATTTGTTTCTTTATTTGGCATGTAACAAATTTGAACGTTCTTAGTTTTTACTACATCTCCCATATAACAACATTTTTCTATGTAGGAGCTTAGATTTAATATTCTACATTTGTTGCATTCAATCTATTCACATATCACAATCTTTCTCACCTTCTTTTCCAGTAGGACTTCACATATCAGTCTATATATCCACACAACACATTTCATTGGTTTCTGTTCCTTTTTCAAATTCAAGACAATACACACCCTCAAATATATTAATATTCCCTTCAATCTATTCATGTCCATCATTTTAGGATCATGGTTAAATTATAACAGACATCCTAACTGCAAATGAGATGTCTGGCAAGACATAAGTATTCAAATACATGAATTTCCCTAATAATTCTGGATATTCATTGAATTATGGTGGATTTGTTCTTCCTCTCAGCAACCCCATTGCATTGCAGTGTTCTTGCTGGACTGAAATCATGTTTTATTTTCTTTTGATTTAAACAAACCTAAAGATCTTGTCTGACAAACTCACCTCTATTGTCTAAGCATATAAGTACTTTTCAGTTTCTTCACAGATTAATTTTCTTCAAATGTTACCAATATTTTTATTTCCTCAGCTGATACTTTTCCTATAAGAGCAAGACCAATAATCACTTTCGAATAATCATCAATAGATAAGATGTACCTTTTACCTCTTTTTGACATTGGCTTCACTGGTCCAATCAAATCCATGTGTCACAGCCCCATTATTCCTGATGTTTTTATAGTTTCCTATGTGTGTTCCTACGGATGTTTGCCTTAAAGCAACATTCACACTCTATATTCAATTTATATTTACCTATCAGAATTATTACCAATTCTTCATTCTCCATCTCTTCAATGAACTTTATATTTGCATGTCGATGCCACACATCTTTCTCTGTTGATACATATGCTGCCTCTTTTTTATTCCTTGATTCTACGTAATATACATTTCCTCTTCTCACTGCTATCATTAGAACTTCTTTCCTTTCTTTATGTACCTCAGCTCCATCAATCTGAAACTTAGCAGAATAGTAATAATCAGTGACTTTGACCACTGATATTAATATTTATTTAGATCAGGAATACGACATATCTTTCTATCTCAGTGTATTCTCTTTATTCTGTTCTCATAAGAGGACATCACTTAAATTAATTTTATTCCTTTTTGTCCGCCTAAATCATCCCCCCTTTCTGAATTTTTATTTAATCATCAAATATTTCTATCCTGTGTGTCATATGGTTAGACAACCTAAAATTCAATAGCATATCATACCTTACATATTTTTACTACTGCTTCAATTTTTTTTAACTATAAAATATAATTCTCTCTGAAAATTTCTAAACATTACCGATTCCATTAATTACTATTTTTCCGCTATAATAACCAATAATTTATTATTTTTTTCACTGTTATTACAAATTTACATCGTCGACAATTTGTTATTAACGATATTAATTTGTTAATAATAAATTTCAAGATTTATACGTTTATTTTTATTTTTTATTTATTTTATACAATAACAGAACTTCTCGTAAAAATCCAAGAATATGCATAGAAAATAAATGAACTCGGGTGTTCATTTTTAAACTTTGATAACCAATTATAACTATTCGGAAGCAGGAATAATTAAAATTACAGGCGGCGATGGACTCGTAATACTCTCACCTAATTTTTAACACTGCAACGAACCCCCTAACATTCTTACTAAAAAGTATAAAAATGTAATACTTCATTTCATCCAAAACTCGTGTCTACCTAAAAAAGAAACTCACATTTTTCTGAACCTGATGATGATACAGCAAACTCTATTTCGGACTCGTGTTCAGAAAATTAAACTCTACAAGAATCACCTAACCCTTTGCACTCGAGAGACGCCTCCCAGTTGCCATTTAATCAGATTCTAAAGATGGATATTAATTAATATATCAAATTTAAAATTACCCAACGATGCATGGAATATCAAAGTAAAATAATTTGTATACGATTTCGTATTTACCGTTTTAAAATTATCGTCGATTTTATGGCAAAAAGTCTTTGAATTACTATTTTTCTGTAACGAAAAAATCGTGTCCAGTGCAAAGGTTTAAAAATACCCTCGACTTAATGGCAGAAAGTCTTCGATTACTATTTTTCTGTAACGAAAAAATCGTCCAGTGTAAAAGAGTAAATTGGTAATGGGAGTAATGGAGTATTGTACGATGTTGAAAGTCTTCGAATTACTATTTTCCTGTAACAAAAAAATCGTCAAGTGCAAAGGACTAATATATATTACAGATCATGGACAAATTTAAAATTTGTTGAACACTGTAATTGAACGATTAAAAACTAATAGCAAATGAAATTATCGAAAGAAGATTTATTGACTGTGACTATTAATTATCGATCATTAACTACTACCACGAAGAGTTATTAAAAATAGAATTACCCAGATCGTTAAGTCCTTCTTTCTCCTTAGAATCGCTGTTAATTGGGAGGTTTGGAAATGGTGATAAATGAAGGAAAAAACTGGAAGGAGTTCCGTCAGACTTCATTAAAAGTATAGATTCGTCGTGGAACCGTTTTATAGACACCTTTCATGAAAATCGCCCAAGAAGCGGAAGGCCTTTTCCCGAGGCTTTCCCTTGTTATAAAGGCAACGCTCGAAAATAGGAACGTAAACGGGAAGACTTTCATGAAACAGATCGATGAACGTTATTCCTAATGGCATTTAAAAATAAAGGGGATTCATTACTCGGAGTCAAGAGGCCGGGAACGCGTCAGGTGTTAAATGTAAAAGCGCGAAGGGTAAAAACTGGGTCACTAAGAGGCGAAAGATTTAAGGGTATCATAAAAATTCTACCGGTTTGCTTTTGTGTCTCGACAAAGCGCGCCTCCAAACACTCCGGAACTCGTGAAAATGTTTTTCGTCGCCATTTAATTCTGCTAATATCAAAGCACCTCGCCTTTCTAGTGTGCACCATCGACCAAAAAGATCGCAGACATTCATTTTACCACATTGTTTCGAGATTCCTTATTTTCCAAACACATTTTTCCACCTTATCAAATCATTCGATACATATACATATTATTCTCGAATTTGATATATTTTATAATAATTTTTTAACCGAAATAAAATTGTTTCTTTTGGGAAAAACAGGAAACGCAAAAACGGTGAGGAACGACAACAGTTCCCGGTTCGGCAAATTCATGCAGGTGTGCTTCGACAGCAAGTGGATGATCAAGGGCTGCATCATTCAGGATTACCTGCTGGAGCAGAGTCGCATAACTTTCCAGAGCGCCGGCGAGAGGAATTATCACGTGTTCTATCAGCTGGTCGAAACAGGGACCAGGGACAAGGAATTCGCGGAACAATATAAACTGATGCCAGCCAGCCACTACAAGTATTTGAATCAGTCTGGCTGTGTGAAGATCGATGGAATCTCCGACTGCAAGAAGCTCGACGCCCTTAGACTTGCGTTTAACGTGTTACAGGTAATTAGTCGGTACACACCGAGTGGTGCCATCAAAGGCTACGGTTTATTGGTGTTAATGGTCTGTGCAAGCAGCTCCGTATAGTCGAGATGTTCGAATTTTCTCCATCTTATCTCTAAAGCTTCCTCGAGACTCACGAAATGCATCTGGAAAAGTAAAATTTAAATATGTAATAGAAATGTCATTCCAAACATTCACGTTGATATCAGAAATGTTATTTCGATAATTATTGGAAATTTTTCCTGACAAAATCAATGTTAATTACGATTCTGAGTAGTCGAAATTACTAGAGAGTAGCGTGCATACACTCGTAATAACTTTTTCAAATGTGTATTCCGGTCAACTGACTTGCCTCTTTAGCTTTATAAATTACTGCGCCATCGAGGATTTATTTTATCCTTACCCGCCACTGAGATGCACTTTCGTTTTTGTAGGTCGCGCCGGAAATGTGCGAGGGTATTTTCAGAGTCCTGTCCGCCATTCTTTGGTTGGGGAATTTAAACTTCGAGGACGTGGACGGCGAAAGATGCGAGCTAACTAAAGAGGACCTTGACATCGTTGGTACGGTTGCTCCTTTGCTCGGACTGCATGTCGAGGATCTGACGAAGGTGGTGCTGATACGGCAGATAAATGTTCGGGGGAACATCACCGAGATACCACTGAAGGTGCAAGAAGCCCGTGAAAATAGACACGCTATGGCGAAAGCGTTGTACTCGAGAACGTTCGCCTGGTTGATCAATCATATCAACAATTGCACGAACCCTGGGCAAGACAGCTCGAGGTTTCTCGGTGTTTTGGATATATTTGGCTTCGAGAACTTCGCCGTGAACAGCTTCGAACAACTCTGTATCAATTACACGAACGAGAAGCTGCACAAGTTTTTCAATCACTACGTGTTCGCTTTAGAACAGGAACTCGTAAGTCGTTTCTAAGCATTCTCGTTTCCCTATATATTTAGTCGGCTATATGACACGATTAACGATCATGTCACATGATAGGGTGAGATAACGGGCTTGTTACATAACTGATAGGGTGAAATTGAATTGACCTCGATAGGGTAGGCAGCGAGGGTAATGGAATCGGATTTTTGCATATTTCTTATATGATAGTTAATAAAATATCGAGAATACGTGTTATAGATAGTTTGAGGTTAGCCTTTTCGAATGTTTCTAAAGTCATTGTCGCTCCGTCTTACCATAGTCGAGGGTTAATGATAAAAGTAAACTCGTTCCAAAGTTGATTAGGTGACACTTGTCCTTCCATGTCGGCTATCGTAACACGTGAAACGTTTTGAATTTCAGTACCGACAGGAAGAGATCCAATATTCTCATATCACCTTCACGGACAACACCATGTGCCTGGAATTAATCGAGAAACCTCCACGATGTGTTCTTAAGTTACTAACCGAACAGTGCCATATGCCAAAAGGCTCGGACCTAGCTTACCTGACCAATTTGCACGCAGAATTCGAGAACCATCCCTGCTACGTGAAAGGGGACGACCGACGAAAATGGGAAAAAGAGTTTGGCGTAAAACATTATGCGGGTTGTGTTACCTACACCGTCGAAGGATTCGTGGATAAAAACCGAGATGTACAGCAAGACGTATTCTTCGACTTCATGTCTAGGAGCACGAACGAATTTGTGCAAGAAATTACGGTTTATCAAGATCTTCTGGGGTGCACGGTGGCTCGTGCAAGCGGAAACGCGACTACGATGTCTCGTGGAACTTCCAAGGGTAAACCAACGCTCTGCGATTCCTTTAGACATCAGCTGCAAGCTTTGGTCGATGTTCTTCAAGCTACTACACCTTGGTACGCTAGATGCATTAAACCCAATATGCAGAAAATAGCGAACCACTATGACGAGAAATTGGTTTTGGACCAGTTGAAGTATTTGGGCATGCTGGACATTATTAGAATCAGGAAGGAAGGCTTTCCTATACACATGCCGTTCCATGACTTCATAGCAAGATATCGTTGTCTAGAGAAAGGACGTTTGTCACGTTCCTACAATGAGAAAGAAGCTGTTAGATGTTTGGTCAGTAGTCAAGGTATACCGGAGACTGAGTGGCAAATAGGAAAAACAAAGGTGTTTTTGAGAAGCTATGTGCACGAACCTCTAGAAGATTGCAGAAATCAAATGGTTACCAGTAATGCTGTAATGATACAGAAAATATGGAGGGGTCACGTAATTCGACGGGGTAAGTTATTTCTAATTGATAATATATTTCTTATTTTATCTTAAAACTAAAAGAGAAATCATTTTTGCAGAATACAAACGTATAAAAGACGCTGCATTGAAGGTGCAACATGCATACCGAGGCTGGAAGCTGAGAATAATGTTCATTAGAAAACGAAGAGCGGCCATTGTGATACAGAGTCATCTGCGTGGCGTCTTTGCAAGAGAGGTTGCAGCGGCTTTGAGAGAGATGAGACGGGTAGATGAAGAGATGAGAAAGAGGGAGAGACTGGAAGAGGAGAGAAGATTGATGGAGGATAAGAAGGCTCTAGAAGAAAGTCAAAGGTATTATGAAATAATGATTCTGAAATTCTATGATGCGACACGTCTATTTCAGTATACAAATTACCGTGGCCATCGAACAGGGCAGTCGTTCGTTTGTATGTTAATAGTATTTCTATTTGTGCCCCTTGTAGCGCTCAGTACAATGGTATTATCGGAATGGAACCTGGGTAAGTTCGTCGGTAGTTCGATATGACGAATTAAGAACCCTTGCAGCATGATGAATTCACTAGGAATAATTGCTTTTAACATAAATGCAGCGTTTAGTATCACCAAGTACACGCACACCAGCACCTGACTAATTTGTGTGCTTGATAACTAAAATGATTATTAAATTCTGATCAAATAAAATTGCGTTTCAATATATTCATACATGCTATTTCATTTTGCAGAAAAGCTCAAGAAGAGATTGCTGCATTGTCACAAATGGCAGAACAAATGAATTCTAAGATGGCAGCCTCTGACTTGCAATCTGTGGATCTGGACAACCTATTTTCATTCCTGTCTGATGTACAATCGACAAAGGGTAATCAGATCATTGAAGAAATTGGCGAACAAATGGATGAACTAGTAGAAGACCTTGATGTGGAACTAGAAACTGTAATACAACAAGAAATGGAAATGAATTCAAAAGCAGAATCTAAAGCAAACACTCCAAATGGACAAGAAATTCCATCACCTCTACAACCACCAACTCAACAGCAACAACAGCAACAAAGGATACCTTGTGCAACTACTGGTAAACTTGGGCAGCCAAGTCTTCCTGAGCCCACTGAACCACCTCCACCTCCACCACCTCCAGCTGCAACCTTAACGATGAATGGAGATTCTACAACTGACAATGGGGAACCAATCTACGAGTCCGTCTTACCGCGTGAAGAGAATAGTCCTAGCAGTCCAATTTTGGTTAACGGAAACTCTGGACCATTAATTAATGGTGAATCCTGTGGTTCACCTCCACCTGTACCGAATAACAAGATCGTTAAAGAACCGGTTGCTGGTAGCCCTCCATCCAGGCCAGAATCTAGGAATTCGAATAATCACCATTTACATCATAATCACCATCAACCAGTACCCCAACAGCAACAGAATGGTCATGATCAGCAACAGCAACAACAGCAAATACAACAGTCTCAACAGCCACCTGTGGAAAGAGAACAGAGACGCAAATGTAGAGTGGAGCGTAAACTTCAAGAATTGGAGGATAAAAAGGAGCCTGATAACGAAATTACTTATCACGATATCGTGGAATTTGCACAGAATTATTTCAATAGTCACGAAAGATCTCCAGAGGGTACGATTATGGCTACGCTTACTAGAATAAAGAGTGTAGAATATATTCCAAAGTATGAAATGGTTACCTATTACAAAGGATCTACTATACCGAATTCCCACATTCATATGTACGATCCTGATAACGTTAATGTGGCTTGCTCAGTTTTTAGAGTATGTAATTATTTATGATCACTGTTGCGTTCTTTCCTAAATTTTGAAACTAACGTCTATCTTTTTCAACTTTTAGGATCTTTGTAAGTACCTAAGGGGAGAAATGAAGTTAGACCAGGAAATTGCAACTATTCAGAGCATAATCGGCTACGGCATTGAACGTGAAGAATTAAGAGATGAGATTTTTGTTCAATGTATGAGACAAGCAACGAACAATCCTAACCCAGAATGGGCTGAAAGAGAGTGGTTATTGCTCTGTTTAGCTATTGTTGCTTTTCAACCTAGTAAACTATTGTATAAGTACTTCGTATCTTTCTTAAGAAAGAATTTGGCCCTTGAGGGCAAACTTCGTCAGTATGTTCAATGGTGCGTGGATAATTGTAAGAACATGAAGGTTTCCTGTAGACAACATCCTCCATCGACGGTCGAGATTGCGGCCATGAGACGATTAGGCACCATAGTTTGTCGATTTTTCTTTTTGGATGGAAGAACCAAAGCAATCGATGTACATCCAACTGACACTGCCGCCGATGCTGTTGCTAAATTAGGTGAAAAATTGGGTCTGAGATCTTTAGAAGGTTGGGCAATTTACCAAAGTAGGCCAGATGGTGAGGAACATGTTCGAGCACATGATTACCTGTATGATCTTATAGCCGCTTGGGAAATGTAAGTTCTTATTCCCAATTATTATCGATGAATTTTTGTATATTGATTTTACTTTACATTATACATCATATTGTATTCTTTCAGGAAACAATGCAAACTGAACACAGCGCAATCAACATTTTCCACACTTCGTCGAGGAAACAATGCTACTTTGGGAAGTGGTGATAATCGCTTCGTTTTTAAGCGAAGACTATTTCGAAACACTCGAGAAATATCTCAAGATCCTGTTGAAGTAAACATGCTGTACGCTCAAGCTGTGTATAACGTAGTAAAGGTAAATTAAAAAAGAATAGGATTGAAACACTTACTTCATTTTGTTCTTATGAAAATTATTCCTCTGTATTTTCTTTTTCCAGTGTGACGATTTTCCAGTATCAGAGAAAGTCGCGCTCCAGTTGGCAGGCTTACAAGCACAAGTCGCCTTAGGTGATCCAAAAGATAATGATAGACTGGACTATTACAGTGAAGTGGACAGTTTCTTGCCTTATCGAATCAGTCGTGCCCGAGGTGATGATGTTTGGGTGCCAATAATAGCGCAGGCACACAGACAGTATGGCGCCGGCCGTAAAGAATTGGCGGCCAAAGTATTGTATTTATCTTGTGTGATGCAATACCCTCTTTATGGCACGACCATGTTCAATGTAACTTATCGAGGCTATTGGTCTTATGGTAATCAATTGATCTTGGGTATCAACTGTGACGGTCTAATGTTGATCAAACCAGATGACAAATTCGTCTTATCAGAGTATCGTTATCAAGACGTTGAAAGCATTATGCTAGACCCAAGCGATTCTTTCATAACTCTATCTCTTCTTCGTCATAATCCCGACAGCTCACATAAATGTTTCGTTTTCGAGACACCACAGAAAAACGAAATAGGTAGTCTAATTGTTAGCTACTGCCCAGCATTGGCAGGTTGGATCACGGAAAATGAGGTTCCTACTAAGAAACTCAAGTGTATTACTAACGAAGATCGTATTAGACTCTATCATAATTTAGTCAATTGCCGAAGAACGCTAGTAGACGCAGAAATACTGAGGAAACCTCAAGATTCTGGAGGCGGTTTCTTGAGAAACACTTTACGAAGGTTGTCTAAACATAGAATAGAAAAGCTTAGACAGGAACATGGTAGTGCAACCGATCATGGTGAAACTTACAAAGGATTCCCGTATGCATACTGGGCATTCAGCAGACAAACTATACCTCAAAGTCTTTTGAAACTACCAGACCCAGACGAGCAGATGGCTCTTAGCGTATTCCAATTAATTTTGACCTACGCTGGTCTGGGGCAAAACGGAGACACGGTTCGTAGGGTAGAGGATGAACATGTGAATTTAATACAAACAGTAATGGAACGTTGCATAAGGAAAGAAAATTTGTTAGGCGAACTGTACCTTCAATTAATTAAACAAACTACTGATCATCCTGATCCTAATAGTCGGGTGAATCTCCGGCATTGGGCGTTGCTTTCCCTGGCCTGCTCCGTTATTTTACCTCCACAGAAAGTTATTCGAAAGTATCTGATAGCGCATTTGAAACGATGCGCTAGTGATTACGTTACCGAGGAGGGAAAATACGCCCGATTTGCTGAAAAGTGCCTTTACAAGACGCAGGGCACAAGAAGAAGACAGTGGCCACCGAGTAGGGAGGAGATAATGTGCACGATTAATCGCAGGCCTATTTACGCTAGGTTCCACTTTATGGATGGACAGTATCATGCCGTCGAGTTCCACCCATCAGCAACTGCTAGAGACGTTATGGAGATCATCAAAACTAAAATTGGTCTGGAAGAAATTGCCATGGGTAATTAATGTCAAATTAACTTTAACCTTCTGTCTTTACTGGTATATACATACTTATCATAAAACTGGAATTTATAGGGTATGCCATTTATGAGGTCCTAGGACCAACCGAACGAGCATTAATAGCGGAAGAGAAAATTGCTGATGTAATGTCGAAATGGGAGCGTTACAGAACGGCGAACGCACAGCAGAATCAATCACAGAGAAAGCACGCACATCACTTCTTCTTATTTAAGAAACATTTGTTCCTTGATCAGTATATGAATCTTGACGACCCGGTGGAAAAAGAATTACTTTATCATCAAGTACTGCATGATCTGCGTGCTGACAGATTCCCTATAACAGAGAAAGAGGCTGTAAATAATTTTTCTTATCCTAATATTTGTTAATATCAAGTATGTTATGATACAGATTAATAAATTGATAACCTGCTTTCAGATGATGTTGACAGCGTTACAAGCTCAACTGGAACTCAGCGATTGTGAAGACGCCGTGTCGGATTATGATTACCGCACTATCTCAACTCACTGCCTACCCCAAAGACTGGTTCCAATCTTATGCATAGAAGGTGTACTCCAACACCATCAATCATTACGAGGAATGACACCACCTGAAGCAAAGAAAGCTTTCTTAAATTTAATTCAATCGTGGCCACTTCACAGAGCTACAATATTCGATGTTATGCAATCGTTTACCTCGAACTGGCCACGTGTTTTATGGTTGGCCGTTGATCAGCAAGGTCTTCATCTTCTGGAGCATCGTTCCAGGAATACTCTTTGTACCTACGAATATAGCAGTATTCTCAGTTATAGCCCAGCTGTTAATTGTTTAATGATTATCACTGGGACTGATAAGAAGCAGAGTAAAGTAATCCTTACTACATCTCAGGTAATACTTTTCTCCAAAATTTATGCTACGGTATATAAATTTTATATTAAGGTGCCTGAATTACAAACCTCCTTATTTGTCCTTGTTTAACTGCAGGCACATCAAATTGCAAATTTAATTCGAGAATATATGGATGTTCTTCAATCACCACCGGAAATTCCGAAAAGGGAATCGGCGATTGCTCAACAGATAACACAGCAACCGATTCAACAACCTTCGACAAATCTTCCGGTTGCTGCTGGTGGTCGAAAATCTCGACCTGCTTCGGTATTACACAGAGGTGCTCCAGTGATACAATCGCAAGCTAGTTAAAAAGTTAGGTATCATATTAGATGCGATACTTCTCTTCAACCTTATACTCTACTCATTACCTCACATATATAAACTTTTATTCCTTTATTATATTTATTCGATATGCACTTAATTTAACGTTAATCGTACTCTTAAGTCCCTTGAATTCGCATAATTTCGTAATATTTATTCGTTAAATCGTTTTATGCGCTTTCTACGTTTTAAATCGAATGTTTTTATAATTGTACGTTTGGCGCGAATCAGCACACCTTAGCTATAGTATCAGGTTGCAGAGAGAAGGTATCTCTATAGTTAGTAACGCTTTATCGGCAAGGCCTATCAAGCGACGAATAAAGTCTCGTCGCAACGAGACGGCACTAGCCTAGAAATACTTTTTTCTTCCAGTATTTATTCGATTAGCTTAGAGCTCGAGAGATGTCGAAAGAAAAATAGCTGCTGCCGCGGAGAGAGTAGATTAGCGAGTGGATCGACAAATAACTGCCATTTTACGATTTTAATAACTAGAAAGCTGTCGAAGACTTCTATTTCTATTTGTCCGTCATTGTCGTTGCCTTTTTTACGAGCGATTGTCAATGTTTTTTATACGGTTTTTTGCAGGATATACGACACAGCCATGAAACTCAGTAATTATTCAATCAGTTGTTAAATATTAATCCGATGTATGGTGTAACACTTTTGGCATATCAGTTTTTGTATCGTTCGCCGAAGGGTGATTATGACACTTTTGATATCGTTTTAAACAATATCGGGAACGACCAATTCATTCACCTTACGTTTTCAATTTTGTCTCTCTTGTTAATCACTCTTCAACGATACGATAATACACGACATGTAAAATGTCAGATTCCGCCGTATTACAATCAACGATAACATTTTAAGTGTTAACCTTGCGCAAAATTTAAATACGATTATATACGTATTATATTTAAACGCAATATTTCACGTAAAAATTTTACTTGACATATAGTAAATAATAATATAAAGATATACAGATATAATATCTTGGAAAAAGGTGGCAAAGGCAAATTGTTTTGACTCGTATTTCAAAATTGTTCGAGCACGTTCCAAAATGAAAGTCGAATGATAACTAACCTCCATTTTATAGACAATCCTTTCGTGCTATCGTCCCCTTTCTCGTAAAATTTATAATTATGAGGTTGAAGAAATGTATAATGAAGGAAATTATCATTCACGCGGAGGTTCAATGAGAATCCGTAATTCCGACGCGATCGCATCGATCGAAAATTGCCACGAAATTGCGTCCAAAGAAATTTCTTTCTTTAATCCAAAATCGCTCGATATCTTGATGTGTAAATATTAAGCAAAGATAAAAGAATTAAACTTAAAAATGATAACAATAGGTTCCAAGCGAAATTCTCCAGTGTTCAGTGATTACATTTCCACATTAAATTAGTCTTACAGCTCTCTTATATACAGAAATGATATTATCTAATTGTAATTTAACCCTTTCAAATGCAATCTTTCGTAGTACGAGATAAATAGAAAGAATTGAAACTTTTGAATCTATACTGTTTACGGTTCGTAATGTAGGAATACGATTCGTTTTTGCTAATATTACTCTTTTTAACGAGCGAGATAATTGCTCAACGATGTAACGATTACGAAGTCCAATATCACTAACAAAAGGTTACAGAATAAAAACACTTTTTACGGGACACAGTCAAGAAAGGGTTAATACAAGGTTAAACGAGAATCTTCTCTAAGAATCTTCTGTCGAACACTGGAGTTCATAAAAAATCCTGAGTTTATTTGGACCAAGATTTCGTCCCGAAGACTCGAACCATTGTTAGATCCTTATTTACGCGTTAATACTGAAACGCGAAAAGAATTGTAAGACCACATACATGTAAAGAAAGAAAGAAAACGGAACGGAATTAATTTCGCGATAAGCGCGCCATCTAGCTATTGGCGACGGAAAGTAATTACAGACTCAATTATTTCTTGTGTAATGTTACAAAAAATGTAATGCAATGCGTAATAAGGATCGATCATAGAAATCGTAAGTCATAAAGGATCGAGAATTCGTCGTGACGAAACGAGAAGTTAGTGTATCCTCTATGATCTGTATTTATTCCAATTTCCTTTCCGGGAGTTTGGCTAAGATTCTACGAGTGCAGATACAGACTGTGATCCGCTTTGGGTGTCCTTAGTCTTCGAGAGCTGTTTAACGAGTGAGACTTCGTGTTAACTAATTAAAAAAACAAAAAAAAGAAGGAACAGGCTAAAGAAGAGGTGAGCACGTGTGCATGTGTGCATGTATGTGTGCGTGTGGAAGACGGTGAGTAAAAGGTCGTGTGAACGTGTAAAAGAACGTTACGGAATAAGGATGTGATTTTGCGATGCATGCATGATACTTAAAATAAAAAAAGGGAAAGGGGAGAGAAGTATGCTATCCCCTGTATGTGTAGCTTAAGCAAAATAAATTATTGGTTGATGATGTTATATTGAAATATTTAAGAATGATCGACACTGTATATACTTATATATAAATAGACACGCATAGACGATACGCACATCGCGAATTACACTCAATTACACATGCGACATAACAGACTGTTGTAAACTCGGAAATACACGTACAAAGAGAATGATGGGGAGAGTTACACGCCTACATGTGACGAGAATATACATACTATTATATAAATATAAATATGAACATAAATATAAATATATAAATAAATAAATATATATATTGATTATTAATATACTCGAGCTATGTATAAGGATACAATAAAAGAAAGCGAAGCTTTAATATTGCAGATAATGACGATTTGTTTCTCCAGTAATAATTGTTTAACGAATGATTATTAAAGTTATTAAAAGGCAGATCAATCGAGATATTATGAAAATACGATCGTATATTTATACGAACGCAGACGGTATTGAAAATATAGATTATGTTGAATTGAAAATTGAGCCTAATAAATTAAAAATGTTCGAATATATTTTTTTAATAGACATAACCTAATTGAAACTACCGTTTTTCATGTATATATACATTTTTTATTTATTATTTTGTATACAATAATGAGACAAGTAACAGTACTCGCTTCGGTTTACGATTGCCCGTGCATTTGCAACCAAATAAAGTAATCCTCGCTAATATTTTCACATGTGATACATATTCGCTCAATTAAACGTTCTTTAATTGATTATGGCAACGAGGCAAACACAGCAAGCACAAAGGCAATCGTGCATACATAAGTTCTTTTTCAGATATGACAAAATAAATAGCTTCAAAAATGAGTATAAACTAGAATAAATGGAAAGAGAAAATAATCAAACATAAATCGTTACATTTAGTAGCGTTTTCATGTTTGCACGCACCATTTTCGGACATTCTGTTTATGTTCATTGAAAATGCGTTTTTTCTCATTTTAGGCCCCCTTCCCACGTCTATAAATACATGAAATACGTCGCAACAGTGACGAAAGTACGTTGACTCTTTTTTAGACTGTAACTGTAATAATCGCGCGTTCCATAAATTCAACAAAGTATGGCAGATGGAGCTGTCAACGAGAAATTCTTTCCAATGACGCGTTTCTACAGACACGTGTGAAAGTGGCCTCAAGATCGGCTAGAACTTCTGCACTATATATTATCATTATCTTTGCCATAATGGATCAAAACCGAAATGTCGATTTACGATGTGTATGAAAAATCTGTGCGTAGATCGTTCTGCTAAAATTTCATATAATAAATATCATTGAAATAGTCGTAGTTTTATAAAAAGAAATTTCTGTGTTCGATGAACAATGATCAGTAAATCACCGGTAGAATTATTTTGTTATTTACAAAAATACAATATCAAAATGGATCCATTTTGGCTAAGACAAGATCAATATTGCAACATATAAGAATTATATCACTTTTTCTTTTATATTATTTATGGAATACTATTTCTTCTGTAACGTTTTTTTTTTTTTTTTTTGGCACCTGTAACGAAATTAAAAAATGCTGCACGAATATATGAATAAAAGTATGAACTATTTAAATATGAACTTTAGAACGGATAAAATGCTAAGTCCGTTATTAAGTCTGTATAAACTCAATGCATGGCAAAAATTAGATATTCAATTTTCATTAATCTTAGATAATTAAAGTACAGTTCTCCTGATTATTTCATTTTTACCTAATATTTTATTTTAATTCACTTTTGTCATTAAAGTTATAGCATGAATCATCGATTCCATAGGAATATAGGCGTGTCTCAATGCTAACATTAAAAAATACACAGATACAATGATTAACGGGACGTGCAACTTTTACTTTTCATCTTTTCATCATTTTTGTCTCGTAAATTGTTCATTCACTCTATCAAACTAATATTCGGCACGTGCACGCAACACTGTTATATACTCAATCTTTAAATCGCATCCATTTCCCTGGTTTTCCCAATTGTATCGTAAAAATACTTTCTTCGTGTGAAAACAAATTCTTATTTGCATAACTTATCAGTGACTATGTGATATACTTCACAAATAACTCGGATACGTTCCACGGTGTGCTTATAATATCAAACAAGTGTTGCAATACTCGAAAATACGTGTTCAACGAAAAAGAAAAATAGAGGTACTCTTTTTACAACTTTTTAACCCTTTCCACTCGATCGTAAAGAAGGAACCATTCTAAACAAATTACGTAACGAACGATCGATAGGTTAATCGATCGTGAAATGTACACTGCACCTGTTGACTGCGCATATCGACTGCAAAGAACATAGGTTAGGCACGAAATATAATAGAAATTTTGTATCGGTTACATCCATTATTCGTTTTAGTGTCAAATATATTTTACTTACGAAAAAGTATTAAGAAATATAATAACGTAAGACTGGTAATTCAGTGTTTCTTTTGGACGAAGACCTTGAATTGATATTTCTGGAAATATTGGCCGAGGTCGCAAAATATTTCCGGTCACTGCCAAGAACCGAAGGCCATACTTCGAGCGGTCGCGAGTTTGCGATAATCGATTTTGGTGGG